AAGTGGATTTTTTTTCTCCATTATGAAGAAAAAAGATTTATTCATTAATGTTCCCTCAATGTAATTAAAAGAATATGAAATCACTATGTAAATAAATAATAAATGTAAAATCTCACAATGTGCTATGTGCTGCTATAGTTTAGCCCTACACAGTATCAGGACCAGTTGTTGGTAGTTGAGGAGCTCAGAAAATTCAGAATACTTGGAAAAGTTAAGAAGAAACAAGTGCCAGATTTTCATTATTTTGCATTCTTACAGTATTTTGTTTGCTATCAACTTGTCAGTACCTAAGAAAAAAATACTAAGACATAAAATTTATCTTTTCATCTATTAACCAATTACTTCTAGTTACATTGCTATTAATGAAAGTACACTGGCCATTGATGTCTTCTAAAATATTTTAAACAGCAAGAAAACAGCAATAAAACTTGTTATGGAGGAACTTTCTTTGGAGGGAAAGCAAAAGCTTCTAACATGTACCTATCAATAATGTATTCTGTAACTCACAAATTCAAATCTCAACTGTAGGCAAGGAATACTAAAGTTGTCAATATTTAATTAGGATGCTTCTTATAAAAGCTTAAGTGGAACCATCTAATTAAAAAAATGCTAATGTGGAGGTATAGACTTTCCTTGTCAAAGTGATATATCTTATTCCTTCTACATCTTTCTGGTTTGGTTTTGCTTTTTTTAAGACAGACAATACCTTATCAGAATGACCTTAACTTCTATGAGTAAAATATTTGAAATGTCACTATGCATACAAAACAGTTGGGAATAATTAGGTGGTATCAGTTAGAAATGTTTCAATAGCAAGTCGAAATAAGCATTTAGCTGCACACAAACAGTTTTAATGTAGTAGGATTTATTCTTCGTTCCAATACAGTCGTTTGTTTTAAGAGTGAATTTCATCCTTTTCTTTTTTAAGCATAAAAGTCATCGGCACTTCAACAGGAATACCAACTTGTGCAGCACTTCACTTGGCTTTATTTTTGGTACTAAAGAAAGAAGCAACTAGGAGAAAATTATGGGAACATAACACTGATTTGTTCTGGTATTGTTTATATAAAGCACCTTCTAAACAGAACTCTTGCCAATTCACTTCAAACCAAATTAACCTCCCTATTAGCAAAAGGCTGCTATTTTACACAAATGCAGTAAAAGTTTAAGCCTGAAAGAGCTTACAGTTCATTCTGGAATAAAACAAAATGCTCTTGATCGGAGGAGGGGAAAATAAAAGAAGTACATTAGGGAGGTTTTGTGCTTTGACTTTAAATGTTATGTTACATGGAAACCAAACTAAAAGTAGAGGTTCTAAATTCCAACTGAAAGTGTAACAGCGTACTAAAGAGATTTCAGGCCAGAAGAGTTAAAAACTTAACTCTCAAAAATATATTCACTCCTATCAATGCCCAAGAAAATAGTCAGTAATATCAAAGATTAGCATAGTTTAGTACTACAGAGAAAGCAATTATAGACGTTTATGTACTAATACTACATACACGCAGCTTTTTCTGTAAGAGGACAAAAAAATTCATCAATACAATAGCACAACTATTGCTGATTTTAGTAAGCTATTCAGTTTTAAATATGCTAAAAAACTACTTTACTATACCTTTGCTGTAGCAAAATATCACCAACCAGATCCTAAAGCACACATACTTAACAGGCTTCGTTTATGTGCAGGTAAAACCTAAACATTTTCAAGGTGTAGTTTTTAGATTAAACACAGAAGCATCCAAATTAAATTTTACACCTCTTATTGACACTTTAAAATTTTACAAGACAGTGACTGAAATGTCTGCTTTAACGCGCAGCTGCAGCTTCGGCACGGAGTTTGATACGACTC